CTGCTCTGCTCTCGCTCTGCTCTGCTCTGCTCTGCTCTGCTCTGCTCTGCTCTGCTCTGTTCAGTCATGTTCCCTGCCACGTTTCCTCTGACTCCTCGTTGCCATGCAGGTACCAGGACAGCCAGCCTGGGTCGATCCGGTCAAGTTCGCTGCTCAGAGCAGCACCTGTTCCTCTCGTCCCCAGGGAGGCCTTACATCCTAACTCAGTTTGAGAATTAGACCGGCCCGATGCCTCCTGCTCCCCAGCAAGAAGCTCGTCCCAAGTGCTCTCATCCCCCTGCCATGCCATGCTGCTCCCCCCCACGTGCATATTCGGTCTGAAGTCGGTGACAGGGTCGTACGGAAACGAGGCAGGAGGTTGGGGAGGGGAGGAATCGCCGCCAATTCCATGAGACATAGCTTCGGTGGTGTGTTCAACAACAACCGAGCACGCTTCTTCCTGGCAATGCTCCTGTTGCTCCTCTGCCGCTACCATGAACGCCTGTTGCTGCTGCCCTTGTGTCTGTCCAGTCGTCTGCTCTATTGACATGCCGTGATCTCCGTTGAGCGGACTGGACGAGTTGGAGCCTTCGCGACTCTCGGAGGATGCCTCCCGCCTCCTTCTGCGCGTATACGGCCAACGTGAAATTCCGAGCTGCCTGCAGACTGCCTTGAGGGTTGAAAGCGATATGCCCTGGGAAAGAGAGCAGGTAGTTAGGATGAGACGAAAGGAGGGGCGCTGACATGGCAAAGCATGCTTACCAGAGTTTGAGCAGCGTTCTCTTGTCGAGACGCGAAAAGCGGTGAAAGAACTTCGACGGTGATCTCGACCTCTTGGCGAATCGTCAGGGCATCTGTGCCGATGCGAGGACGGGGCATGATGGTGACGGTTCGTCTCATCAGACCACAGCGTGTGTTGGAGCAAGAACAAGAGGCAGGAGAGGTCACAAAAAGCTAGAGACGGAATTGGAGGATGGTAACAAAGAAGGGGACTAAAGCGAGGAGGACGAGAAGGAGATGTATGGTGAAGAGGAAAAGGAGGAATATATGAGGGGGAGGAGGAGGAGGAGGAATATGAATATGAGGAGGAGGAGGAGAAGTACAAAGTCTGCGGCTCTTTAAAAAGGGTCTGGTATCAAGGGGGGCAGTGCGTAAAGTAAAGCAAAGATATGAATTGAAACCACTGCTTTTCGCAAAGGTTAAGATCAATCTCCAGATCCGTCCAGATGCTTCAGGAAGCTTCGATGCAACTCCGACATCAAACTGTTTTATATCACGTCCACGGACGCCATCGGACCAGCCTCGGATATAAATGAAATCACTCGTATTCGGATTGTGCATGTCGCACTCTTGCCTCGGTGTGCCATGAGCGTCCCTGCGGAGGTTGGCAAAAAGGAGTTATAATCTCATAAGCCCGGTCACGGCGCACCTCTCACGGCGCACCTCTCCCTGATACTAATAAAATTGAGTTTGTATGCTCAATTAGTCCGTCCCCCCTCACGAACTTCAACGACATCATCTCACGGCTTCAAGCCCCTATAACCAAAGGCATTCGTTCTTTTCAGCGTGACCCGTCCGACTCCTTCTCCTCCTCTTGAGACAGCCTCCCGCACATGCAGCGAGTCGTTTCTGTGATCCCTCGTCCTCGTAACCCTTTCCACCATCGACCCCAAGAAGTTCACCTCACCGTCGACCTCCTCCGTCCTTTCTTCAACTGCCGTCAGGAGCAGGTCGCAAACACTCTGGTCAGTCATCTGCATTTCTTTCCGTCTTGTCTCATCCTGATCTGCTCTCACAGGGAATCTCCCTCACCACCCTCAAGGCCAGCTGCAGGCAGCTTGGCATACTCCGATGGCCGTACACGCACAAAAAGGAGCGCACGCACGCGCCCAATACGCCCATGAGCACCGGTGCGACTGGGTCAAGCGATGAGCTTGCTGCTCCTGAGGAACCTGGTCTTGTCGCCGACGCTCCTCCGCAAGCTGCGGGTCTTGACGGATGGAGGGGAGCAAGTGCTGGATGGGACGAGACGAAGCGGGTAATGCCGATGCAAGTCAGCGATGATCCTCCATATGCCAGCAACGAGCAGCAGGCGGACGCTGCAAGCACATCGCTGATCCTCTCAACGGATGCGTCAACGGACGATTGCCCCGAAAAGGTCTGGAATCACGGGCATGCTGCGTCGTCGTGCTATTGGTGGCCTGGCGAGGATCAGTCGAGGAGCGGAGAAAGCTTCTCAGAGCTTTCTGAGACTCGATGTCTCTCTGGTCAAGCAGAGGAGAACAGAGGTGGCAGGCTCAGAGATGACAATAGAGGACTCAAGGACGGTCGAGCAGGAGTACCTGGGCTCGGGGGGATAAGCGGAGATTGGCTCGCCTGGTACATAAGCGTAGGCGATGACTCGGAGGAGGTGTAGCAAGGGAGCGAGGTCTTCGATGAAAAAGTCTGCTTGATTCGAGACGCCGCTTTGCCTTTCTGATCAGAGTGGTTACTTATTGGTTCCATCTTCAGTGCTCACAGACCATCTGATCAATCTTGAAACAAAACGACCTCCGGGCTTGGGGTTATTTCCTTCCTTAAGCTTGATCTGCGTTAGTAAACATGGCATGCCAACCATAGAACGTACCTGAAGGATAACTCCCAAGCAAGCATGCATCAGCACCCCTATCAAGCATGCAATCAGCATGGCTCGAGTACGCATCTCCGGTTCAACACGCCGCAGTATGCACCTTGTGATTTCCAGGTGTGGGGAATAAGTCTTACACCCTCGGGGTACAAATCTCTGTAATACACATCCAAGAGGCACTAGCATTCGTATGACAAACTGAAAGGATTTTATCAACTTAAGGTAAATATTAGCAAACACTTCAATCAGAGTTGAGTTTATGAGGACTCCCAAGTCTTTGATGTACAACACTATCTCATCCCCACACAGAACCCACGACTCCATCTAGGGCTGTCACTATCATCCCTCGTACGCTCCTATCGTGCAAATCAAGCCTGTCCGTACATCCAGTCGCTCGTCACGTCTCCGCTCTCGTCAGACGTCCGCAGAAACCATGCCAGCCAATCCCTGTCGATCCCCCGCGGATGCTGACCTCCCGCATCTTCTGTGAGCTCGGCGTGCGGGCCAGCAGCTCCCATGATGTCCTGACTTGCCAACCATCCCGGCTCGTCTGACCACACCAAACTCGTATCCGCCTCGTACACGCGACGTTCTTGTGTGTCATTGCCCCATGAGTTCTTGAGCGGTCTCGTATGCTCGCAACAGGGACCCATGTGGTACTGGGAGGCTTCTGGATGGTTGGAGTGACTATGTTCCTCCGTATCCACAAATGGTGCAGCACTTGACGCCTCGGCCTCATGCATCGACAGGATACTCGAGCACCCCGAAGAAGCGGCAGGCTCAGCAAAGTAGATGCCGTGTTCATGCCCTGACCTCTCAGAGGCCCACGCAGGAGCATCAACCTTCTGAGCTGAGACCCCTTGACTGCTCTCGGCTAGGACATGGTGTTCCCGTATCTTGGCATCGATGGACGAGCCTGCTTGACTATGGCTCACGGGGACACGCTGTGACTTCTTGCGAGTGTACGGCCATCGAATGATGCCGAGCTGACGGCAGGCTGCCTTAAGGGTGGTGAGAGAAATGCCCTGAATGCAAAAGTCATTCATCCGAAGTCATAGTAATCTGATGGTCAGAGCACAAAGGTGGGTGATAGAGGGTTTCAGACAGACGGGAGTTCGACGCTCTATGGTGCAGTGCTTACCAGGGATTCAGCAGCGTGCTCCTGACGGGTCGAGAAGAGAGGACGGAGAAGCTCGACGGTGATCTTGATCTCTTCACGCGGGAAGGAGAGGCTCTTGATGCTCCGGGGGCGAGGGATGACTGAGACGAACGCGCTCATGTCCAGGAGCTCGTGGATGCGCAGGGTATGGCCCCCCAGGTGTTGAAGAGAGGGGAGGGTATCGTGATCGGGGCCGTCGTTGACCAGTCGCAGTATGGAAAGAGCTCGTTTCGATTACCTCCGGTCATCAGTTGACCACTTGGTGGGATCCGTGCGACTATCAAAAGCATCGTTTCGCTACTTGCCTATAAATATTTTAAATGTCACGTTACCCTTCAACAAAAGGCCTCAAGTTCATAGCTTCTCGACAATAACTGGTTTGTAAAGAGAGATATGTGCCATGAGCGCTATGACCTGCCCTGTAACACGCAGGCGCAGCCTGAGGGGGGATGAGGCCCCTACCGGCTCGGAGCGGAGCCGACGCAGGACGTACCGCCGCAACTTCAGTGTGTTGTAAAGTTTTAAGAGGGTCAGGAATTCACTAGTTCCCAGTTGCACTTCAGGGTCTTCGATTTCTCAAATGGAGTACTAAGATAAATGGGGCAGGCTTTTACCTTCGCCCCCAATACCCCTCTGGCCGTCTGCAGAGTTTTGACTGCCTGCGGCTGACCCCATTAAAACCAGTCCACTCCTACTCCTGTATAAATTCTGCGTAGTTTGCGAAAGCAGCTCCACTGAACTCCTGTTTCTCTCCTCTTACCGCGTTCGAGCTCCCTCAACTTGACGTCCTCTCTCCCTCCTAGCACGTCTGGTTTCTGTCCTTCTCTTCCTCATCCACCTTGTGTTCCTTCCCTGTGTTTCTCCTTCGCAATAACAATTCAAAAATGCACGATCCGATGTCGATGAATCTTGAAGACGCCGTCTCCTGCTCGCCAGCACCCCGACAAGTCTTCGATGCGTTCTTCGGCTCTGCAGACCTCGCTGCATGCCCTGTCTCCAACAGCTCCAACCTCATGCTTGACTTCAACATCGGCTTCGAAGAGGCGAGTCACTCCGAATGGGTGGACGACTTCCAAGGCATCGGCTTCATGCGAGCGCTGTCGATGTCGCAGGATCCGCATGTTTCTGCCAGCACCGACGACAGCGACGATGAGAGCTTGGCGGGTGCTTGTGACACTGAAGCCTTCTACAAGACCCTCAAAGGAGCCAAGGGAAGTGAAAACGCGACAGCGCAGGTGGGCAGGGCAACAGGTTCCCAATCTATGGGAGATGAACTTAGAAATAGCTCCTACTTTCTTCTGAATGAACGGTTTATTCAATAGTCCTTCGCAGTGAAGCACAGTGTGGTCCTTCCTCCATGCAGAACACCTCCAATTCTTCAAGCAGATTATTTGTCATCATGACGCGCCTACCTTCTTACCAAGGAGATGGACTGCCCTGTACCAGATGATATTGGAAAGATAATTCCACTGAAAACAGACAATTCTGAGTTCTCCCTGTAGAAAGTGTCAGACCTTCAATTCAAGGCTGCTCAGTATCTGGATGATCTACTCTCCTCACAGCAGGGACGCACAAGTCCAGAAGAATCTCAGAATCTCATCGATGTTTCCTACATCCGATCCAGTAGTACTGTTCACTTGACCTCCGAGTCATCCGAAACCGTGGCTGACCTTTCTGGCGACAAATCAATCGACCAAAGAGCATAAGAGAGGCATTCGAAAGCCGAGAGCATCAGGTGCAAGGAATTGGTTTTGTGCCGGGAGAACTTGTGACCTTACAAGTTTGACTCAGTTACTCAGAGTCATAGTAATACAACTGTACGGTGGCAGTTTTCAAGGTAACTTGAAACAAAATCAGATGGTCCTCTAGACCAATGTGTGTGGCAGTGTTGGGATTCCATCAAGTGAAGGACGGCCGGGCGGCCCGGCGAAGTCTACTGAGCACGACGGACCGTCCGGGCCGTCCGACGGTCTGAGTCGGAGAGAGTCCGATCGCCGAGACTCAGGCCTCTGTCCCGGAGCCCGGCGGCCCGATCGGATCGCCGGCCGGCGGCGGGCCGCCGGAGTCAAGCCGCCCTGGGACAGGGTGACTCGCATCAGTCGGTGGCACCAGGGCGAGGGCCGCGGGCACATGCCCGATGGGTGCGAAGGAGAGCGAAGCAGCAGAGGAGAGAGGAGGGAGGAGGAGGGAGGAGGAGGAGGTGACGATGAGATCATGATGAGAAACCTCCCTGAGACAAGCCAACCCGACCCGAGCATGCGTCATGGCAGTGCTTGCCATGCCAGTGCAAGGGTGCCACCTGCCTCTTCTGCTTCTACGCCCCATGCTGAGGAGTCGTGCGGAGACTGCGCATGCGAGGACGACATCGCCATGGCAGAACTATCTTGCAGTGATGAAGAGGGAGCTAGAAAGATGGACATGAGCTCGGATGATGACCTGTCGCTCTTGGAAGACGAAGACTTCTGGTGTTCAAGGTGCACCTGCGCCCCCAAATTCAGAGAGCCCATCTCCGACGTGCTTAAGAAGCTGCACTATCAACGAGCTGTTCTTGCCAGCATTCCAGGGCTGCAAGAGGAGGCTAGGCAAGAGCAGCAGGGGGTCTCTCTTGACATCAGTCAGTACGCCGACAGCCTGAAGCTTGTCCAGAGACTGGACCTGGGATGTGCCAACTACATGGAGGAAGGGATCATGTACATTCGAGAAGTCTTTCCTTACATGCCGTCGCTGGTGCATCTCGACGTCAGAGGGAACAAGATCGGGGCTGAGGGCTGCAGGCACTTGAGTGACATCCTGCGCCATCTCGTTAACCTTGAGTTCCTCTCCGTCTTCAACAACCAGGTCTGTGACGCCGGGCTGACTCTGCTGACCGACGCTCTCCATCACGTCAGAGGGCTGAAGACGCTCGAGCTAGGAGGCAACAATATCCGCAAGGACGGGGCTCAGCGGCTGGGGGAGTATCTTGCGTGCAAGCCTACCCTAGTGTCGTTGGAGATGGGGTGCAACCATGTGGGGAACGAGGGGGCGACGAGCCTGGGCCGGGCCCTTGCCCTCAACACGCGCCTTGAGCACCTGAGGATCTGCAACAACAACATAGGGAGCGAAGGCTGCTTCTTCCTAGCCCGGAGCATGAAGTCCACCCCGAACCTCGAGGCCCTCTACTTGGGTTTCAACGAGATTGGCGACGAGGGCGCTGGGCACGTGGCCGAGTGTTTCGTCTGCCTCCCCAGGCTCAGGCACGTGGATCTTTACAACAACGGTATCGGGCAGGAGGGCGTGACGCGCATCGCAAGAAACCTGCGGCACCTGCGGCACCTGGAGCAGCTGCGACTCGACGTCAGCCCGAGTTTGGTGGACTGGTCGAAGATGCCCTGTGCCCCGCCGCGGCTCGAGGGTATCTCGTGGGCGGACCTCCGAGTCGAGCTGGAGGTGAAAGGGGGGGGGGGGGGAAGTTGGGGGGGGGTTGCTGAGGAAGAGGGGGGAAGGGAGGGAGGGAGGAGGGGAAAGAAGGGAAATGCGTGGATGAGAGCGTTTTGCAGGTGCTGGAGGAGAGGAGAACGTGTTTCCTGCTGGGGATCTTCGGACGATCTACGAGGAGCTGTCTCAGTGCTCTGGAGTTGGAACTCGATCTGATCCGAATGATATGGGAGGCTAGCGAGTGCAGCTGTGCAAACGCAGCAGCTTTACTGGCATAAAGTAACGACACCGCTCAACCGATTGGCACATTCCGACTAGAATTTTGCGCTAGACCCCTCACCTGACGATAGTAGCAATTCTCCTGCCTCCCCCTTCCCCATCCTCCCTCTCTCCCTCCTCCATCATCTCTGCAGGGCCAAAGAAATTTTCTTGTCTGGTGGCGAAACTCGCCTGAAAGAAAGTCAGCTGGAGGGAACTTCGAGAGTCGTCCCACCTGTAGACGAGCTCGAAGTCCGACCCTGCCCCCTCTGACCCTGCAAGGCCTTTCAGTGAAGAGGAGGACGGAAGAAGCTGCATGCCTGTGCCCGGCATTGTTCCTCGTATGATCAGCATCCCGTCGTGAAAGCAGAGCTGCCTGAGATCGAGCAAAGGAGCGTCACGTGAGAGAAGCGAAAGAGGAGGAGGGCAGGCAGGATTGAGGTTATGGCCGAGGATCAACTTGAAAGGGAGAGAAGGTGGAAGAGATAATGAGTGAATGGAATTGAAAAGGAGGGGAGGGGAAGGGAAGGGGGGTATTGAGGAGCAACGTTGACAAGGAAAGGAACGAAGAATCCGGATGGGAGCTGAGTGAAACGGGTCGAACATCCTCCAAGCACCTGCTGTGGTAGCACTTGAGGAGCCCGCTGTCTTCCCGCAGGCGAAACTCAGTAGCTCGCAGCATCCCCTTCGTCCCAACGTCAGCAACGCAGCACGCAGCAACTTCAGCGGTTCACAGGTTGCAACGGAGTATGCAGGCAGAGGGAGATGTAAACCCCGGACTTGATCTTCTTGGGAGTCCCTGGTTGACTTGTCAGCAGTTCGTTGTCGATTGACCACGTTCCTGACCATTCAGCTTGATTTCTGACTTTTCTCCCCAGCCCATAGAGAAATCTCCCAGCCATTCTGAAGTCGCCGTCAACCATGGCGTTCAGTGGAGGAAGGGGTGGATGCTCGCTTACCGGGAAGGTGAAAGCGGAAATGGTGGTTCAAAGTGAGTGGGTCAGTCTTAGAAAAGAAGACATGTGCCTTCAAGTCAACCAGAGGTCAGAACTCCAACGGCCGGCTCCTCCACCCCCGCTGACCTGCAGGCTCATTGCTATCAGCCTTTCCTTCCCGAGCTTGTACTGAGAGATGGCTCTCTGGACACTCTCCGACGCCGTCGCGTTCTCGATCGCAGCTGAGAAACCGTTCTCCAGCAGCCCACTCCCGCTGACGCCTGCCCTCTTGAACGACCGCTGCACCGCAAAGAAAGAATCGCTCGAGAGCATTTCGTCAACCTCGTACACCCCGTTGCAAGGGTTTAACGACCCCTGATGTCCTCTCAGCACCCAGCACGCACACATCCACCTCCCTCACCTGAACAGCCTCCTTCTTGACCTCCTCCTCCTCCTCCTCCTCCTCCTCCTCCTCCACCTCCTCCTCCATGCTCGTGAACAACAGGACCACCTGCCCTCCCTCGCATCCTCCTCCCACAGCGAACCTGCGGAGCTGAAAGCCTCTGTTGAAAGTGAGCATCCTTACTTCACCCTCCATCTTCTCTCCTGGCGCCTTTCCCATCCGATCCATCAGTTCCCTGAGCTTCTTCTTCTCCTCCTGCGCTACGAAGTGCTCCAAGCACTGACCGGCCGGGCCCACGAACGGCAGGTCCGTGTACAGGTTCAACATGCCCCGGCTCATGGAAGTGATGTGGAGGCTCGAACGATCCACCGTCATCATCATCAGGCTGCCACTGCCCAGCATCCCTTCCTTGAGTAGAGCAGCTTTCACCTCAACCTCCTCCTCCTCCCCCTTGCCGCCAGAGATCGCTTCTCTCTCTACCACCGCGCGCACATGCACTAGCAGGTCCTCAACAAGCTGCTGGACCGTCCTGCCAGACTCCAGCACCGATCGTTGCCGGCGGGAGCTGAGGGTCAAGGGAACCATGCGATCCAGCTCGGCAACCAGGTCTTTGATCTTGTTGCGCCCATGTTGAACCCCTGCCTTCTTGTTGGCCGGCAGCATTGCCGGTACCGCTTGGTCGCCGCTCATCGACGAGGTCTATGCATCCTCTCTCGACGATACTTTCCCCATGAAGGTTGACTTGACCCTCGATCTAACTTGCCGTCCCGTTCGCACTTACCCTCTCCGCTCTCTTCTCCTCCTCCCTCGCTCTTCCTCCTTGTTTCTATCCATCGACATCTACTTCCTCCCTTCTCATCTCCTCCCTCTCCCTCCTCCTCCTCCTCCTCCTCCTCCTTCTCCTCCTCCTCCTCCTCCTCCTCTCTTCTCCTCTCCCCTGTCTCCTCTCTTCGTCTCTGCTCCTCTCCTCCCCTCCTCCTCTCCTCCCTCTCCTAGTTTTCCTCCTTGTTCTGAGTAGGTTCTTGCTATCCCACCCCCAGCCTCGCTGTGAACAGGGTCAGAGGATGTGTAAATTTCTACAATAGTATCCCACTTATGGAATATTCTACCTATAGGGTACTTGGCGAGACTCAGCTTTCTGCGGTTTGCTAGAGAAACAGAAAAGAGGATGTGTCGAGGGAGGAGAGGAGTTGGTTTGGTACCAAGGATGAGTGAAGGAGTGAAGGATTGAAGCAATCAAACGAGGAGGAGGCGATGGGGACCAAGGGACGAATAGACTGGGATACGAGGATGGGAAGAAGGCAGGGGTTGACCTAGCAGCTCGTTCTAATCTTGGCTAACAACCTTGTGACAACAGGAGGAGGAGGAGAAGCTATGATGAACTACTTTCAGCATCCCCACGAGGCCACAAGGACAGCGAGGATCTTGGTAGGATGACATGTGCTGCCCGCGACAAGACCTGACGTGTCTCAGTGGGTCGGAGGCTTCTTCGCCCTCCCGTTTCTGTGGCTCCTCAACTGGCTCAACCTCCGAAAGCTTTCGTCGGTGAGGAGAGGAAGGAGAGGAAGGAGGAGGGGGCGAAGAGGTGAAGAGCAGGAGGAGGGAGAGGACTGGACGAGGACGAGGACGAGGACGAGGATGACGGTGAAGTAGGAGGAGGGAGAGGAGATGCCATGGGAGCTCAAGACTCTGTCGAGGCTCTCGCTCCTAGCGTTCGCTCTCTCGATGGTAGCGAGCACGCGGGGATGACCTGTCAGTGAAGCCTCCCACAGGTTCTGTTCCTTGGATGGATCGTGACGTTTCAAGGCTTGAACGAGGAGATGCGCTGCGCTTGCGATGTACCCTGGGACTCTGATAAGAGGTTGCTTCCTTCCTTGCTGCCTTCCTTGCTGCTCTTTCTCTCCTCCTCATCGTCGTCGTCATCATCATCATCATCTTCTTCATACACCACTGCAAGCGTCGTCATCAGCATCGTCGTAGTCATCATCATCACTACCACGACCATCACCATCTCCTTCATCCTTCTCTGTCTTTCACCGCTTGTCCTTCTTTCCCATTCCTCCTCCTCCCTCCCCTTCCCTCGTCATTTTTTGATGTCAGATGTCACTGCGCGCTCGGAGACACTCGGACCTTCATGAGCTCTCGCACTTGTGTGGAGCCGCAAGGATTGTGCAGCCGAGGATCGTGACGATGAGGTAGACGACGATGACAGCAACAGCGACAGCGACAGCGACAACAACGAAAGCAAGTAGTGCTGTGATGGTAACGAGGGTGCGTTCTCTCGTGGCTGGAGTGAGCAACGGGCAATGAGAAGCATGTAACAAGAAGCATGCAGCAAGATCATTGGCAGCCCGACATATGCGAGTGCCGGTGAGACAGGAGGACTGGCTGACGGAGGAGCAGCAGCGAATTGGAGGACGAGTCGGAGGAGGAGGAGGACTCGGGAGGAGGAGGAGAAGGAGAAGGAGGAGGAGGAGGAGGAGGAGAAGGAGGAGGAGAAGGAGGAGGAGGAGGAGGAGGAGGGAGGGGAGAGGAATATAGCCAACTTACGACAGGAAAGAATGAGAAGCAATTTTGCTCATATACAACATTCTGACTAGTGATAAAACCCTCACATGCGAGAGGAAATAAATTTTTCCTTCCATTCTCCTACCTCCCCCCGCCTACCCACTTAAGATTTCCAACCCTTCCGCCCTTTACAACACCCCTCAGTCTTCCTCCAGCAGCGCTCCCTGGATCATTGTCCTAGAGTTCTGCAATCGCAATGAATCCCCGCCGCCTCCTCCTGCTCCTCCTACTCCTCCCCCGGGCCGCCGACCCCTGTAAGGATCGAGCGAGTAACCATTCTCCTCCTTGTGCGCAGTAGAGCTCATCTGCTGCTCCTTCTTGAGCCACACAGGCACATGCTTGCCCTGCTCTTCCTCACTCTCCTGCTTTCCCTGTAGCCTCCTATCCTCCTGCAGCCAGGAGGGAAGAGCGATTTTCTTCTTCACTTCTCCTGCCTCCTCCTTCCCAAATGGGCTTGACGTCAACACGGACGGGGATTTGATGGGACTTTCCCTTGGCTCTAACCGCGGCCTGTCAACAGTTTAGGTACAGGAGGAGGAGGAGGAGGAGGAGGAGGAGGAGGAGGAGGAGGAGGAGGAGAGCAAAGGTGGAAGAAGAGGGAAGAAAGGAGGAGGAGGAAGAGGAGGAAGAAGAAGCGTGGGCTAGCATGAGTAGGTATATGTGCTACCTTCCATGGGACGAGATGTGCGGACGACTTGCACCAAAGTGTGGAAGTCTGCGGCAAGCGTGAGATGAAAGAAGCTATGAGGAGTACAACGAGTACGTCTCCACTCCACTTGCTCGTCCTGCCCCTGCTCTAGTTGATACAATCGGGGTTCCGATGCGATGGGGAGTGGAATCGAGGACAGGAGCTGCATGTCGGGGAAGAGGAAGGAGAGTTGGTCTAGAAATGTCCCTGGAGCCGCTTCCTCCCGTCTCGCTCTCTGCTACAGATGCCAGCGATCGATGCAGCTGTCTTCTTGGAGTCTGCGGTGACCGAAACCCGGAAGGGGAGAGGAGGCCGAGGAGGAGACGAAGATCAAGAAGAATGGAACAGAGGATGAGAAACATGAAAGAGAGAGGAAGAGGAAAAGGAAAGAAAGAGGGAAACAATCGTCAGGAGCATTCGATTCGTGAGATTTGCAGCAACAAAGTCTTCACCTGCATTGAAACATCTAGTTTCCTGTACCAACAAATGTCAGCACCCCCGCAACATCACAGTCACAACTTGGTCGACCTGAACTGCTCGGCTTTCAGTTGATCGTCTTCGTCGATGGTCAACATCTCCACGGAGCTGTTCACACTCCAAGAGCTGAAGGTGGAGGAGGCCAGCGCGTCGAGGGGAAGGGAGGACCGTGTTGAGCTAGATCCAGTCGACACAGTCCTCCTGAAGGAGGAGGAGGAGGAGAAGGGAGTTGTTGCCCGTTCTCCCGACTGAGGAAAGGGACTTGTATTGAACCTGTATTCAACCAGAGGAGGAAATGAAACCAAGTCAACCCCTTGAATGCAACCAGCGCATGTCAACACTCACGAGTGGCTGTGCGACAGGACCGCTTGTGGGGATCTCGTGAAGATTGCCTGAGCCATCGGCGTCAACGAGGAGCGACAGGCTCGAGATCAGGCTCACCGGGGTTCCGACTCTGCTCCCCTCGTTCATCTCGGGACTGTACATGCTCTTGGTGGGAATAGATCGGTGTGAGAGCGGCTGCTTCAAGCCCCCGGAGTCCGCCATCTGTCACATAGTCAGCGATATGAGTGTCTTTCTGGACAGCGAACGGGTGAGAGAAGCTGCTGGGCAACAGATGCTCCGTACGACGTCGCCTGCACGAGGAGAACATTCAGCGACTGTCGATAGGAAGAGAAAATGCTGAAAGTGGAGGGGGGAGGTTGCGGGGCTAGGGAGAAGAAACAGCAGAGGGAAGGAAGAGGGAGAGGAATGAAGGTCAAGCATGTGGAGCGAGCAAGAGACACGGTTGTGTAGCAAAAGACGTCTGTCTTCCAACAGTCTCAGCATGAGATTAAACTTACAGCTCTGTATCCTTGAGAAGGAGGGCCGAGTCGGTTCTCTAGCGCTGGAGTCCCCAGTCGGTTGCCTCCCATGAACGCCACGCCACTTGCACCCTCCATGATCAGAGTCACAGTGTTGTGGGCGCTGACAAGGGTTTCAGAGGATGTTCGTCCGACCTGCCGTCATGTAGCAACCCTTGCAGACGTGAGAGTGAGTGTTGGGTTTATGTTGAGTTGGAGCAAGACTGTATCTTGTGAGCCTCGCGCTTCATCGCCCAGTGAGCTCAGTGTTCCATCCAGATTGAAAGATGCGAGTTGTTTCCGCCAGCTGAGTTCCAGTTGTGATAGATGGCAGCCTATCGAAACGTTGTGTAAGGGAATTGTTTGGTCTACAAGGTTCCATTCGGACCAAACGCAAAGAAATGAAATGCTAAGAACGCAGATTGCACATGGAATCATAGAACAAGGTGTGTGCTGTATGCTTCACATGTTGAGTAAGGGGATCGAAACATTCTTGAAGAAATAGCGATTGAGACCATCACAAGGTGTCATTCAGGAGGCGCCTTGAGAGGTGGAGTGACAATCAATGTTTTGAACACAACCTTCTAGATATGAGAGGATGAAGAATCTAGAGATAATGTCTGAGACGGAATGGGAAAGATCAGGAAGCATCATCCGGGACGAGTATCGCTACCTGAGGAGGAAAACAGTGTAAAGGAGGAGTGGAAAGATACGAGGAGAAAGGTGAAGTGAATGAGTAGAAAGAGACAGAGTGAAGATTATGGGGAGAGGATGAGAGGAGAGTCGTCGAGACTTCATGGTTCTCGACGTCGCTCCTCTGCTCCTTCGTCCCTTTCTGGCAGCCGACGCCATTCAGTGCAGCTTTCCATCCATGTTCAAAGGGGTGGGTCAAAGGGTAAATGAGAGGTAGGGGTAGGGGTAGTGACATTGGTAGTGAAGAAAAATTATTATAAAAAGTGACTTATGGGAGGGGGTAGGGGTGGGTGAAGGTTGAGGGAGGGGTGATGGCTCAGCGTGAGGCAGGGCCCGGTATCATGAACCAATTCAGAAATTGAAAGTTGAAACTCTCTAAGAGAATTTGAAATATTCGAGACATTACTGATTGGTGTTCTCTGAAATGAAATCGGCACTCTGGCCTCCGGTTTGTTTTTGAGCAGTGAGAACATGACATGATGACATGAGCTCTTGTTGAGCTGCGAGATCGTCACATGAGCTCTTGTTGAGCTGTGAGAACATGATTTGACGCGTTGAATCGAGAACTGCTCCGACCACTGTAGAAACCTGACGCTCGCTAAGCAGAAGGTCGGATTTCCTTCCCGCCATGCTTGAATCATTTTTGGAGCTGGGTGGGTACCGTGTCGAGGCGCTTTCAAGGAGAGGTTATCGATACACCTCTGTTGAGGGATACCTGGTTTCAAGTATCAGGGAGTTGGGGAAAGCGAGACCTTCTTGTGTTGTCTCGGAACTCTTGCGATTGGGAATTGAACTTGGATACAGCGATGCGATGCTTTGCAATACCTTCGATCAAGTCTTTCTCCAGTTTGATGGGCATGAGAAGTCCTTTTCAACACAATCCCTTTCAACATGATTCCTTCCGCTGGCAGTGTTTTGAACTGAATGAGCCGTTTTTGCTATTTACACAGCTGTTTTCTCAGATCTCCTCGGACACATCTTTTGTATGAGTCAGAGTGCTACACTTTCATTGATGAATAGATTGAAGACAACCATTGAACAACAGTCTCAACGCCAACACAGTGATTCGAACGACGAGTTGTAACTCTACGTTACTCACAGTGACAACTACTTGTAGTTGTAGACCTGACATGCGCCGTCGTGCGCGCAGTCAGTCAAACTGCCGCAACGAGCTCTAACGACGCGCTCTCGGGCTTCAGTTGGAGTTGCGGTGCCAGTCTGACCCGTAGAGAGGAAGGTTCGCGTGCCGCACTCTGACTTCCAGGTGCATCAACACCTGCATGCCCCGTCATCGAGTTCAATGTCCCAACATGAGAAAGACGAGGACGAGGACGAGGACGAGGACGAGGACGAGGACGAGGACGAGGAGAAGAGACAGTGAGCAGGCGGTGGGAAGAAGGGAGGAGAGAAGAGGAGAGATGGATGGAAGATGTGCAGGAGCGCAGGATAGAAGGTGGAGGCAGTGAGAAGAAAGGGGCAGGGGAAGGGGAGGAAGGAACCTTGCGGCCCATCTCGTGGACTTTCTTGATCACGGACCAGTGCTCCGTCAACCGAGGATGGTCGATATAAGTTGCGTTCCCCACAGTAAAAACTTCCACCTGCCCCGCCGACGTCATGAAAGTATCTGTTTCCTTCCCTCCCCTGTCGTCCCCGCACTCCAAATATTCTCCTTCTCGGCAAACACCAGCACCACTTGCTCCTCCTCCTCCTCCTCCTCCTCCTCCTCCTCCTTACTGCATCTCCTCAATACATCACAGATCTCCTCCCTCCCTCCTCTGGCCGTCCTTTCTCCTCGCTCATCTACCTTTTCCGTCCCTCATCAACCATCTTCCGCGTATCCTTCCTCTCTAACTGCCCGAAAACTGTTGCCATGTTCCCCCATACGCTCTTACCGGCAGCACGTAGCATGTTCCAATCCCGTCCATCTCGACCAACTCTTCTCCGTCCCTCCGGTATGGCACGTAGGGTGGGAGCCTGACGGCCTTGAGTTAGAGGGAACGGAGGATGAAGATGAGAGAGCTTGAGGAGGGGAGGAGGAACTGGGGGAGGAGGACGAGAAAGACACCTTTCAACACTTCTTCCTTCCACGTAGGGGACGTTGAGGTCCGGGTACAGGTCTGACTTGCTGGCACCTTCGTCAGCTGCATTCCAGGAGCTTTGACACATGCGTGGCTCCTCTACCCACTTGTCCCTCCTCCTATCCTCCCTTCCCGCATTCCTTGCCTGCCTGCCTGCCTGCCTGCCTGCCTGCCTGCCTGCCTGCCTGCCTGCCGCATCCCTCTGCTCTCCATGACTCCCTCCCTCTCTCCCTCATTCTCCTGCTCCACTCCTCTCTCGCTTCTTCCCACCCTACACTCACCCCTTGAGAGTGAACGCAGTGGTGTCATAAAACTGATTCGGCCCTGCAAGGAAGAATAAGGCGACAACAAGGAGGAGCGAAAGAAAGTAGGACGGAGATGGCACTGCAAGCAAGCTAGCAAGAGAGAAAGATCAAGAATGAGTGTATTCACCCATGGGCCCAGGCTCTTCGATGAGAACAAGAGGGGCAGTCGCCTTGGATGAAGTCAGAGGAAACGGGAGGAGCAGAAGGAATGGAAGGATTACTCCCGTAGGGTTGGCGAAAATGAGTTTGGAAGGGAGGTCTGCAAAGAATTCACGAACAGCAGAAGGAGAAGTGGAGAATAGAAGACGGAGGAGGAAAATCAGGAGGAAAATGACATCCAGAGGAGGTAAAAGAATAGTAGCAGTACTAATAATAAGAAGATGAAGAAGAAGAAGAAGATCAATGGAGG